GACTCAGCTCTGGTACCTATCTCCCCTGCTGCCCACAGCCAGTGCCATCACAAACATTCAAGGGAGTCCTGTAGCTCACGTCCCTTGACCTCACCCCCACAGAGAGACAGAAGTGCTGCTGCCTCTCAGCTGAGGCATGGCAAGGTGAGCAGAACACCTGCACCACAGCCCTTCTGCCATGACACAGGATGGCAGAAAGAAATGTGATTCCCTCAGTATTTGTGCTTCTGTCTGGTGAAAAATGGTCTTTATTTGGGCTGTTGGATTTGCCATGCTCACAGCTGTGCAGTAAAACTTATTAAAACTGACAAGAGTCCCTAAGGGCAGGAAGCCAGAAAGGTCTTTCCCACATCACCAAGGATACAACAAGCTTGATGCTTGTCTCACTGAAGTGCCTAAATCATTATAATGAAATTAATTTTTAATTATGTTCGTTTTCTTCTTTCGCCCCAGGGGTTTTCTTTGCCTCACATTTCCAGAGGCATTCAGGGATAAGACCAGTGTCAGGCAGGAAGAAATTCACTTCCAGAGTCATGAAGGAAGCTCAGGAGAATTCCTGGCCTGGGCCTCAGAGAAAATGTATCCCTGTTGTAGAAATGTGTGGTTGGCATCAGAGCTGGTGGGCTCCTGATCTGACATTTGAGACAGTAAAGAACCAAGGAGAGATGGCATGAGTGATGCCAGGAAGGCATAACAAGAAAAGCCACTGCTATGTTTTAAGATTGGCTATTTGGGAAGTAACAGAGAATAACTGGATCAGTGGCTTTTGAGATGGAAAGGCAGCATTGGTCTGGGATGCATCTTCCACATCCTGTTCAATGTCATTCACCAAGAGGTACATAGCAGCTGATGCTGACTTTGAAGAAGTTCAGTTTTGAGTCACTCACACCTTTAAATTTCTATAGTCTTATGAGCCTTCCTTTGCTCATGAGGCAGGTGGCAAAATACGGCCAGATGACATTGTTATGTTAATGTTAATTCATTATTACCATTAGGTAAGGAAAAACTCACTTCAGTGGCTCATTCAAAGGCTTATGCAGATTTGGGATACTTGCATTGGCCAGAGAAAGAACTGATGAGCCCATTCTTGTTAGATGAGACACCTCGCAGCCAGCTGCGTTTGCAGACTGAAGGCTGTCAGGGTCTGTCACTTTGTGACCAAGCCATCACACACTTAGCTGAAACTAATCAGATTGCTACCAGTGTCCTCTGAGTTGTCCATAATTCCTATTTGTAGTTTTCTGAATGTCACCATATCAGCAGCCTCCAGGCTGTTGATCCTTCCTTGAAATGCTGGCATTGATTAGACATCCTTCAGAAAACATCAGCAACAGCAATAAGCTGCAGCCAAGCTCTGTCTTCCAGGGAAGCTGCCATCCTGAGCAGGTCGTGCTGATCACAGCTGGGAACAGAGTCACTCCAATCCCCCTTAGAGAGGCAGACTCCAGGTGTACTCCCTCATCTTCCCAAGGGGGAAGCTCCCTGTGCTTAGCCCCACCGTGGGATCCAGCTGAGCATCTGGCCAGGCCAGGCCAGTCCCTAAGGGACCTAAGAAGGGTTACCTGGAGAAATGAGATTTTTCTGCCAAAGCTTTGCTTTGTCCTTGTAGTCTGGCAAATGTGGATTTTAATATCTGCAGCTGGGACAGTTAAAATAACATGTCCAAAAGCTGCTGCAAGGTACCTGCAGAATATTCACTGAGCAGTGTCACCTGCAGAGCATTGATCTTTGATGGCAGGTGAAACCCACCTCCTCCATAAATTCCTTGCCTTTCCAGGAATCAGCTTTCTTCTCATGGAAGATTGTTTTGTCTTATGGCCCATGGACCTTTGTCCTCTTCTGCTTAAAGATTCTTGCATGATCTGGTGCCTATTGTGCCTCTGACAAAGTAGAGTGTTTTATGGTTTCTTCTCTGTTTGTATTTTACAGTGTAAAATGCAACATAAGAGCTTTTGGTTTTAACTCTAGATGGCTTCAGTTCAGTGCCTGGTACCATTTAGGATTTTAGTAACTTGGGTTACTTTGTGGTTTAATGTGCAACATGTGGCACATCTGTCACAGATGGGGAGCCCCAGGTACACGTGGAATAGCAAACTGTGGGATATGTGGGCTCATTCATCTGGGTTCCAGCAGCTGAGCCACAGCCCATGGCTCTGTGAGCTGGGAGATGGTGGATGCAGGGGATAAATGGTGTTTATCAGTCCATTTCTCAGGCGTGCTGTAAATGTGCCTAGATAGGCAGTACTTGGATGGCTGCCTTGTACCTTGTGGGAGGTGGGGCTGATCTTCCCCATGCGTGTTGTCAGCTCTCCTTCATCTCCAAAGGGTCTTCATTCCCCTCAGCTACGGTGGAGCTGCTTCCTGGCTGCTCTCTCATTTACCAATGTCTTCCAGCACAGGGGATCTGAGGTGTCCCGTTGCAGCTGCCTGGTGGGGCTGGTGGAGGTGAGCACACCCTGCAGGGCCCCGTGCTGCAACTGCCCACCTGCCCGGCCCTGCTGCCACAGCAACCTGTGCCTGCCTCTGAGCTCCCTCTTCTCTGCAGGAGAGGTTTCTGCATTATCCAAAGGCTTTTCTAATGTGAATGTCAGCATGTAAATGAATCCCCACAGAATGCAGAGCACAGCATCACAGCTCACTTCTCCCAGCCAGTTGTGGAGGCAGGGAAAACAAAACAGCAAGGAGGAAAATGTAGAAAATTAAGGTTAGTAGGAGACATTGAGCAGTTGGAGAATGCATATTGCTCTGCTGTAAATAATGAGCGGAGGTGTGTCTTGGGGGGCCCTCAGCAATCTCTCTGGCTTGCTGGAGAGGATGGAGGGGCATCAACTGCTTGCACCTTTGATTGCTTCTGTTCCTTGGCATTTTCTATGGGATCACCTATGTTCATAATGACAGAGGAAAACTGAGCATGGTGCTCAAGCAGCACTAGAGCGAGGGGGAGACAGAGATTGTTTTGGTTCTGAGTTAAGTTTTTGTAATGGTGTGAGGGTTTTGTGCTGTCTTTTTTGTTGTTGTTGTTGTTGTTTTATTTTTTTTTTCTCTCTAGTCAGTTCTGTGACCTGGTAGTTCAGATCTTAGTAAAGAAAGGACCATATGTTTAGATACAGAATTTACCTCATCCCTTATAGCTGTGTGGACACCAAAATGCTTCTTAGTTTTCTGCCACACCTTCTGTTCTTACTTCTATCCTGCATCATCTTGGGGATCACTCCTTGAAGAATAAGTTCAAATTCAAGTAAGATCAAACTGACCCCTGAGAGATGCTAGGCCAGGTCTTGAAATGGACCTAGTCATCCTTTAAAAGATCTTTCTTTTCATTTCCTCCTTTATGACAATGGTTATATAAAGCAACTGGACTGGTGATCTCTGTTATGAAGCATCTTCATGAGAATTTCTGGAGTGGCAATCTGTCCATAGGTTGGTTCACTTGATTCATACCTCCCCTGTCCTCTGTGCTGAGTGATTTCTGTGCTATCCAGCATCTTTGAGTAGATGGAGTAACACTGCTGCATGTCTGCCTGGCATAGCTGGGAAACGAACTGACTGTATTTCCAGAATTCATCTGCTGGAAGTGCTTACAGCAGCCTTTGATTTCTTTCCCAGTTACAAGGAAAATGCAAGTAATAATAAAGACTTCTTGTGGGTGTCCAGGTGGATGATAATTTTTTACAGGGAAAGTGTGAAGAGGGCTACAGATGGCAAAAGGCTTATGGAAGGAGGTACATTAATCACAAAGATACCAAAACTTCCAATTACATTTGTGTTTTATTGGGTTAAGGGAGTTACAATGCAGTATGGAGGGCACCTGCCCAGGCAAATGACACATGCTCTCCACAAGATCCTCCTCCTAAAACCCAGACAAACCAAAGTAGCAGCTAGAGCTCTGCTATATGCTCTGGAGGCAGAGGACAATGACTTTGGCTTCATATTAGGAAAGAAAGGAAGCCCTTCCCAGATGGAGAAGCTGTGGCAGGGACACAGACAGGAACAGCACACAGAGTTATGCCCAAAGCTATCAAACGAGCGTGGCTGACAGCACAACTAAGCCAGGTCCTGGGAGTGAGAGCTGAAGCCTCTGATCCAGTACAGCAAGGGGGCAAAATGAGAGAACCAAGTCGAGGTTCTCTGGCCCATGCCAGGTTTGTCTATGTGAGGGGAAGAGCATTTAGAGTGCCCTGACACGAGACCAGCTTATGGTACATCAGGTCTTGGCTGTTTTTTTTCATCCAGAAACTACTGGAGATGGTTTTGCAGAATAGTGATGGGAAAGGAGACCATGGCCAGACTGTATTTGGCTAGCTCCTGGATGCTGGGAAATACAAATGCCATATGTGAAGACAAGAGTATTGGCAAGGGGCGTCAGGGAGAGTCCTGGGGCTGATCCCAAGGCAAATATCCCTTCTTGTTGGGAGGAATGTTATGAAACAGTTCTCCCCCAGATATGGGCTGTAAATGGAGTTACTGCAGCAGCCAGGTGGTACAAGCCCTAAATCTAGCAGTGCTCCTGTCAGGAGAGGAGCACAGGTGAAGATTGGTTCCAAGGAGATTGTGAACAAGTTTAGAGACAGGGTGCATGCAACCAGCTGAAAAAACAGGTTTGAATCTATGGCAGCTATCAAGAGCCTTGTTCTCTTGGTGGCCCTAGTAATCACTGCGGTGTGTGGTAGTTAAGCAGTGGCCAATCTATCACTGATCCTTGGGTCAGGAGGACAGGAGACCCCGGGGTAGTGTTGCACTTGTCATGTGAGCTGACCTACCAGAGGGAGAGCAGCCACCTCTCTACATTGCAAGGAGCAGTAAAATACAAGCTGACAGCCCAAGGGAAGATTTCATTTGCAACTAGGGCGAATTTCTCAAGCACTTAGACTGAGCCAGTTTTACAGGCAAACCTTTTGATGAAAACAACAGGAAAGTTGTTATTTCTCCATCAGTGCTCCTTTTCTAAGTCTCCTTGTCCAGTTTTCACTCTTGGCTCCTGACTGAAGAGATCAGGATCCTTATCAAAGAAGTCAAGTTCTGTCCTCCTACTAGGACTGCTGTGCATGAGCTGGGTGCCTTCTGCAGGCTGAGGTTCCAGTTGTGGGAGGGCAAATGCAGTTCCAGCATGTAGGCAGCAGAGATGAGAGATGCCATCTGCATTTGGGTCGCGTGTGCCCTGCAAGCCTGTCAGCTTCCAGGAACGGTGCCCTGCGGTGGCTGATCTGCTGCACACCCAGGGCTGTGCCCAGCACTGAGGGACTCACTGGCTTGTCCCTGTCTTTTTCTCCTCCCAGGGGGCTGCTGCAGAGCCACGCAGCCCAGTGTGGCCCCACAGTCAGCAGCAGAGGATCTTGAGGAAGGCTTTGCGGAAGTCAGTGTTGAAGGTTGTGTAGATGATGGGGTTGAGAGCGCTGTTGACGTACCCGAGCCAAGTGCTGGCACTGTAAAGCCCTGGAGGCACGTGGCAGGATGGGCAGTGGGCGTTGAGGATGTGAATCAAGAAGAAGGGCAGCCAGCAGACTATGAATGCCCCTGGTTTTAGAGAGAGGCAGAAAACAATCCATGAGTTTAGAGCAGCAACTATTTGGAAAGGGGCCTGCACTGGTGACTTCTCCCTCCAGCCCCTCATTATTTCCATGTTGTTTCTGTTTCACAAACACTGAAGACCATGTTTATTCCTGACACAGGAATTTGGCAAAACTTGGGCTCCTTGGGACCAGCTTTGTAAGAGTATGGGACTTTGGAAGTGGTCAGATGATAGACAAAAGCAAGTGGCCACAACTTTGAGGGAAAGCCTCAGCTCCTTTAATCAGTTAGGATGAGGGCTGCTTTATTTCTGTGCTACTACAGAGTTAATGGGTGGGGGAACGGTGCATCTGGTGACCACAGCAGGTGACAGGAACTCCAGTCTCCTGGCTTCTCTACCCAGCTGTATGAACTGGTTCCTCTGCAGTTCTTTGCCTCAGTTTCCCCTTCTGTAATTAGATCTAAGAGCTTCTGCATGTATGGAAACTTAGGATTGTTCCAGCCTTGTAATAGTAAAATGAAAAGGAAAAGCAAAGGTATTGGCTGTTGCTCCCTCAAGAAGTGCTTGTTGGCCACTGATTTTAAACACAAGAGTAACAAAACATAATAAATAAAACACTAATATAGGTGGCTCTCAACATTTGGGAGCATTATTCTAGATCTCTAAATGTCCCACTACTGTCTCTCCTAAGTTTGTGATGCAGTAATAGCTGAAGCCAAGGCCCAGCTTGCATTTTTTTTTTTTTAAATCTCAATTTTGTATTAGGAGATTCTGTGCTCCTGGAATTCCCAAACCATCACCCCCTTGGCACCCCACAGGCAGAATGTCTCTCACTCACCCAGGACAATTGCCAGCATCTGTGTAGCCTTCCTTTCCCGCAGCTGGATCAGTCGGGGCTGCTGCTGGGCCAGCCTCAAGCTGCTGATGGTTCTACCATTGCTGAGCCTCCGGACCTCCACTGCTGGCTTCATGCTCCTCCTCCTCTCTTCCCACCTGCTGGTTTGGGTAGTCCCTGGTGCCTTGGTGAGGGATGCCTTGTGGCAGAAGCTTCGGTACCGCTGCAGGCTGAAGACGGTCAGCAACCTCCTTTTTGTAGACATCTCCTGGCCTGTGCATTTGAGCGAGAGACAGGGGGAAAACGCGCCTTGGCGTCTGTTTGGCAAAACTTTCCTCTCCATGTGTTCCTGCAAAAGACAATGCCACAGAGGAACTGGAAACCATCCAAACTGCTCATTGGGCCAGAGGATGATGAGGGAAGTTGTAGGAGTTATCTTTAACCTCACTTGCCTCTTACATTGCACCATGTCCTCTGCATTGACTTGGGGGTGAACCAGCAGTTGACAACTCTTTGTCTCCATCCCACCCAAGAGAATCATGAGAACAGTAAGAGCAGGAATACCTGCTCGACTAACCTCCCATCTGTATTTTTGTGTTGGCTCTGCTCCCCTCAGCATCCCCGCTCTTTTGATGTAGCTTCACTGTGCAAAATCGGGTAAAAAGAGTGTCTATGAATGACCAGGTAATTCCTTTCAAACTGTTGTGCTGGTTCCCATATTATAGATATTTCATCTAGAAAGGTCAGTGGAACAAATGTTGCATGCACCATGAGTATTTTGCCCTCTTAAGTCTGTCACATGAAGAGGGTTTTTTACTTTAATAACAAAGGTTAAAGCCTATGAAGCCCTGAGAGTGAAGCTTCATAGAGCAAAAATCTATAAATGAAGACATTAAAATCAATAAATGAAGAATTTATGCAAAAAATGAAGTCTTATGCATGGCTGAGAAAACCCTGCTCTGAAGAAATACTAAGGTAGGCTGTGCTCTTCTTGATGCTTCTAAAGGGCAAAGATACACAGGGAATATTCTCTTTCTAGAGGTCTGAAAAGGATTTAACTGGAGCTTCTGCGCCTCAAATATCATGGTTTATAGCAAGGGATGGGATGAAAACATGTTATGTCCCTCCTTATGCTTTCTGTTCTGTGTTTTAACCCTTTGAGGAGAAGAGATGATGCATTCCTCTCCTTTTTGACAGCTCCTGCTGGGTTCATGTGGCTCTTACTTGGTGTGCATAACACGGTTTGGCACTGGCGCTCTGGCTGCCCTGCCGGGTGAGGGTTCGCTTCTTTTGCCTCTGTCTGAGCACGAGGTAAATCCGCACATAGAGCAGCAGGGTCACCATGAAGGGGAGGTAGAAGGACACCAAAGAGGAGTAGATGACGAAACTAGGGTTGGATATGGAACAGACACTGGGATCCCCTGGGAAGGAGAAGAGAGAGAGGGGAGTGGCTAAGCTGATTTGATTTGGTACAAGGAAGCTCTGGTGTGTTGGCCAGTTACAGTCCAAAAGTGAGACAAAAGGTGGCTGGGGTCAAAGGCAGTCTAAGGAGTGAAGATTATGCTCTGGCTTACCCAATTACCTAAGTGATGCTTAAAATGAACCCAACACAGGGCCATCTAGCAGTAGCCAGCATGCTACTGGCTACTGCTCCTCTGGCCAGCAGCTGTTTTCTTCTCTTCTCTCATGTCTATTCCCACCCTTTCTCCTATTCCTTTGACAGCTTCTGAGCTGTCCAGATGCAGAGTGTGCATCCACCCCTGTCTGAACCAGGCAAAGGGCGGCAGCAGAACTTCCCAGTCCCATCTTTTTCCTGCCTCAAGCACTGGGGAGAGAATGGATGGGGAACAGAGGCTTCTGCCTGTGACTCAGTGGGAAGGAAGGCTCCCCTGCTCCTCTGCCTCCAGGGGAGACTATGTTGCCCTAACTGAGCGAAAGGAAAAAGACCAACCTGCTTCCAAGGTGGAGGCTAAATTGTTTGCCCTCCTCAAGGGATTAGTTAAGGAAGCAGACAGCCAGTTGGATAGGAAGGAGGTCTCTAATAAGCAATGCTAATATGCAATCCTTGCTGTTTAGAAGTGTATTCTGTATCAGTGTCAAAACTGTGCTTCTGAACCTGTTGATATCGGCAAGATGCCATTAAATCTGGTGTGTGTGTGTGTGTGTGTGTGTGCTGTATGTGCTGCACGTTTTGCTCCATGCACTCAAAGTGATTGTTTGATAGTAATCTGAGGACCTGGACACCTTGATGGGCATTGATTTGGCAGTAGAACAGGCCAGTTTGCCCTTTAGAATGATAGTCAGTGTCTGCCTGAGCAAATGGCAAGTTTATAGACAAGAGCGCATGGGGGTTTTATGGGGGTTTTTCTCTCCCTTCATAGTGTGCTTTCTAGTTCCTTAAAATTTTCTGTAACTTGGCAAATCTGCAAGACCCATGCTAAATGACCTGGCCATACATAGGGCAGCTCCACTGCCAACCCCTCTTGTGTGCTATAGTTCAGGGTATCACCTACCTGTAGTATTGAAGCCAAAGAGGAGAGGGCATGACACTGCAAATGCCAGCATCCAGACTATCACAATCATGAGAGAGACCCTCCTGCAGGAGCTCTGCCCAGTGCTGTACTGGTACTGAACTGGTTTCACCACTGCGGTGTATCTGCAGACCAAACCAGCTCCGGGAAGAGGAGACAGAGGAAGGAGGGAGGGAAAGGACCAGGTTTTTAAAAGGATAAGTGAAAGCAGCACAGGGAACATGATAGTGAATGTGGTGAAGAAATAGAAGAGGAAAGTAGAGAAAATCAGATGATGGGAACAGCAATTTGTAGAAATGGTAAGCGGGGCATTTGGGGGAGGAACAGAGGAAATCAGAGTTAGTTGGCAGCATTGCAGAGAAACGCCCAGCAGAATCCACAGCATGCAAAGCTACAAGGTTTGGGCTAACAGATAGATCAAGAAACTCCAGGAAATCCCTAGCCCTCAAGCCCCTAGAGTTATATGGGCACTGCTGTGAAAGAGCCCTCTCTGGAGTAACCACAAAATACTAAACTCTCTGTCTCAGCTGCCTGGTCTGGTGTTAGCCTGACAGGCAGAACGTTGCCTGGGGGCAGGCTGTCAAGGACCTTCGGTTGCTGGGGCGCTCCAGGAGATGCAGCTCAGCAGGGCAAGGATTTGGAAGGCACAGGAGTCTCATCTTTAGGAGAGCCTGGGGGCCATGTCTTGCGGACAGAGGCAAACTGAAATGTGGGTACAGATTCCCATGGAGAAGCACCAGTCCAAAGCAGCACTGAGAGCTGCCTTGCATTATTATCCTTGAACCACACATTACAAAGGTATAGCATGCAGTATTTTTCCCTTCTCTCATTCCTTGGTCCCAGTAGGATCACATGTGCCAAAGTTTTGGCTCCCAGCCCTCAGCATTGCTTAAAATAGGCTCAGTTTTAAAATGCAGAAAACCAGAGCAAAGCTCAAGATTACACAGCAATAATCTTCATCTCTCCCTGTGAATATGGTAGGATTTTGTTTATTAAAGCTTCACGAGTGAGATCTCCAGAAGGAGAAACCCTCTTCCACACTCAGTGGGATTTGGATGACCAATTGTGGTTCCTGCCTTTAAAAAGCTTGAGGATGTGGTTGACCATCTATTTGGGATGTCTTATTACTTGTGTCTCCCTGCCCTCCAGCACAGACCTCTTCTTGCACAATTTGAGCAGAGCCACACTAACAACAGTAGTCGCAGGGACAGACCTTCAGGGGTTTGTTGTCCTGAAGACACCAATGCTGTCTGTGCTCACCCCACTTCTTTTCCCTGCCCCACTGGGGCACAGGGCTGCCCCCATATCCAGGCTGTCCCTCTGGATGCTGCTGTGTCTCACCTGTCAATGCTGATGGCACAGAGGTTCAGAATGCTGGCTGTGCACATCATTACATCCATGGTGACGAAGATATCGCAACAGATACGGCTGAATGTCCAGACCCCTCCGGTCACCTGTGCCAGCGACACAAAACTGTCAGCCTTGCTCTGCACCAGGTCCTGACAAGTTTTGTGAGAGGAGCTGCTCTCCTCCAAGTATCTCAGCAGCTGAAGGAGCTTCATAGTGATGGGCAGAGGGAAATTGAGGCATCTGTGTTGTGTGCAAGATAACACAGTAGTAGGGTGTAGTGAAGGAGCCTCACTTTAATTTCAATCCATTATTTGCTCTTGCAGAGGGAGGAAGGGAGAAGAAACAGCAGCTATCACTTCTCTCAAGGTCTAACATGAAAAATTGATTTAAATTTGATATCACTGTATTTATCCTTTGATTAATGATTATCTGAGAAAATCTAAGGGCTGAAAGTCTTTCTCAGCTTAGCTGCCAGAGTGCTCTTGCAGGCAGCAAGCTGGAAAAGTGCTGCAAATTTTTTGCATTTATGTATGAAACTGAGATCTGAGACTGAGGCTTCTCAAAAACCTTATTTGAATTCTTATCTCAGTTAAAGATTTCGATTATTAGAGGTGAGTGAGAACTCACAGGCCACTCAGATAAAGGGGCTTGAGTTGCTACCAAGCTGTTGTTCTGGTCGTTTCAAATTTTTAATCTGAAGTGCGTGGTTGTGAAACCTCAGCCACAGCCAGTCTTAGCAATGGAGAAAAGTTTTGGAGCAGCCACCAAATTCTTGACAACAACCTTTTTGATTGACAAGCATGTTCCAAGCATGTCCCTGCTGTCCTTGGGGTTGGGATGAGAGCCTGATTCTGAGGGAGGTGGTCTGTCTCACTGCCCACTCCTTGTAGGAGATGGAGGGCAGGCTGCTTCCTTGTTCAGCTGCAAACAAACCCAGTCCTGTGCTTAATAGGGGAGGAGGAGAGAAAACAGGGGGAAAGTCCATGCTTGGGAAAGAGCCTGGATTTAGCCTTCAGCCCTGTAGATCCTGCTGTTTCAGCTGGGTCCTGGGAGGTAAGCAAAAACTGCCACTAGTTCCTGGTCTCTCTGCTCACATTTAGACACATCTGGAATACTGCACCTGGTTTTAAGGCATCAGTAGAGGAAAACCATTGATAAATAGGAGTGAGTCCAGTGGAGAGCCACCAAAACAATCCACAGGGGTTGGGGCAGCTGTGAGGACCAGCTAAGGGAGCAGGACTTTTTCAGTCCGGAAAAGAGATGGCTCTGAGGGTTGGGAGACTAGCAGCCCTCTGGAGCCTAGTGGGAGGTTATTGAAAAGGCTGAAGGCAAATTGCTAAGAAGATGGAGCTGGGTTCTTCACAGCAGTGGTGCAGTGGGAGGACAAAAGGCTACAGGAATGAGCTGGAAGAAAGGTGCAAACTGGTCATGAAGGTTACTTTTCTGACTACAGCGACAGTGGGACAGTGGAGCCAGTTGTTTGGTAAGTCTGTGCAGGATCCATCTTTGGAGCTTTTCAAAACCCATTCAAAAATACCCATCCCAGACCATACTGAAGAGGGTGCCACAAGTAAGCTGGCTTCTCAGGCAGTGGATCAACCCTGTGAGTGTTGGTGCCTAGAAAAGATGCAGCCCCCTGCAGAGAAAAGCATTTGTACAAATATAAAATTCACTCTGTGAGAATTGTTTAAGAAATAATCCCAAGAAATGTAAATGGTTTTGAAAATGGCAGCATTCCCACACATGGCTACAGAAAATTGCTGAGGTGAGCTGTGTTTTGAGGGTGTTCTCTGCTGGACCCAGCTGCTACATTTCAGAAATCAGGTATTGAACGAGGCAGTCTTCCATTAGACCCTCTGACCCTGAATGAATGCAGGGGAAGGAAATGGGAATTGGCTTGCAGAATGCAGAAGGGAACTGTGCTTTCTTTTCCAGTTCTCTTTATAATGGTGGTGCTCCTTTGTTTTCTTATAAAAAAGTAAAGGGGAAAAAGTCAAACCTAACCATTGAGTTTTTCTGCACAGTTAGGTGAGCTACAAGACATGCAAACTGAAGGCTGTCCATCTGAGATTAGGGACTTTAATGCGTAGGTTCAGCTTCCAAAGAAACACTACACTGTTTTTACTTTAGTTTCAGATTTTGAGATCTGCTTGACCACCTCAAAATATATTAAAAAAATGCTGGAAGCCTTTGCAGTGGGACCCAGTAAGGGATGTTTCTGCAGTTTGAGGCAAAAAGCAGTGCAGTTTCTGTGAGCTGTGGAGTCTGAAGAATATTTTACTAAGCCAATGGCAGGTGTTCACATGAAAGCCAGCTGCTGCTAACCCAGCAGATGAACACACACTTAACTGAGGGAGTTTCCAAGGTCCTGAGCATGTTAAAATGCTGAGCTCAAGAATGTGAACCATTAACATTGAAGAAGATGCTGGTGGGGATGGCTCAGAAGTGAGCCCTCTCAAGAATGATTCTGTCAGATGACGCCACCTGCATACTAGACTGTAGCTTGTGTAAGAGGATGATTGACAGACCAAAATGTTTGGGCTTAAAACCTGTTCTCACTTCCACCTGCCACTTCTGAGATGGGGAGTAGCTCTGCTGGAGTAGTTAATGAAGTAGTTAATGTTTACCTGTGGGGTATACGAACCCAAAATTTATTCCAGAATTTAACAGTGAAGAAAAGCCTTTTTATTATATGCCTTGTTCAAAATTTTTGAAATTCTATTTCTACTCTTCCTTTTATTCCTCTGTTCTAATCATCTTTGCTACAGCAGCTAGAACCTGCTAGTCTGCATTTCTGGTTTTCATGTGCTGGCGGGGTACTTCTTCTTTATCTCTCCAGTATTGTTTTGTCCAGGAATCTCAAAGGATATTGCAGGTATTTAATTGAATGAATCCTCACATCTGCCTGGGTGAGGTGGATGGTCAAATATTAATCTCTTAAAACTGATGAGAGCAAACTACAGAGAGATGAGCTGATACAATCTCTCATTACCACTCAGTGATTATGCAGCAGAATAGTGTCCAGGGTGAAATCCTGGCTCTACCAAACACAGTGCTAATGATCCCTATAGACTATTCAGATCAGATTTTCACGCAATCTTCCTTGATGACCAGTCTGCTTTATCTACAAAATTGTGGTGTTATTATTTTTAACTTCCAAACTCTATAAGAAGATTTCCAGTTTATGAATGCCCAATGATTATTTTTTTTAAATTATGCTTATCCACCACTCTCCTGAATTCTTAAAATAAACAAAAGAATCCCCACAATTCGGATACGAATGGTGATACGAATTCAGATGCGAGTGGTGGCCACACTGGGGAGCACATGGATGGGAAAGCAGGAAACCAAGCTGCATCAGGAAATGGCAGGCATGAAAGCAGTGGTGCATCTAAGCAGGCTGAAGGGTTTTGTGTTTGAGAGCTGATGCTTGGGGCTGCTGCTGGCTCCTGCAGCTGTGAGATGGCTGGCTGCTTGTGGGTTTGCATGGTGGGAGTCCAAAGAGCACTCGTGGTCAGGACTGCTGAGCTGCAGTAACTTGGCTCTGTCCCCCCTCTGACACCAGTCCAGTGGAGCTCCTGGAGCTCACGGAGCAGCTTAGGTCTCACTGCTCCTGTGTGAGAGACAGGATGAGGAAACAGTGTGACTCCCACATGGTCTCAGCAGATTAGACCTCAGTGACAACCTCCTCCTGAAGCTTTCTTCCCCTTTGGAGGTAGAACTGGGTGTTGTGAGAAGACTGAGGAGGGTGTTCCCAGCCATGCTGCTGCATGTCCTCCTCTGCCTGTGCAATGACTACAAGGCACAATGTGTTTAATGCCCAAAACTCAGGGTAGGATACCCTGATGCCACTGCCTTGGAAACCTTGGTGAGCTTCAGCAGCCACAGCACCAGGGATCAGTAAAGAAGAGGGCAGCAGTATTGGTGTGTCAGACCTATATGTTGGCCCACAGAAGATTGCTAGACACACTGCTGAATAACACTTCTGTGCCAGAAACCTCCTTAAGAGGAGATGAGGATTTTGAGGCCATAAAATGTTCCTGTTGCTGCTCTGTCACAGCCTTCCCAAAAGATATCTCAAAAAGAGACAGTTCTGGTTTGCATGATTGATAAAATAACACATTTCCTGGCCACTGATGACTCTAAAAATGAAGTGTAAAGCACAAACTTCACAAGTGGCATTTAAATCTGAGGCATTCATCCACCTTAAGCTTCTCCATAAATAAGGGCCAGTTCTGAAGTCTGATTTGGCAAACCTTCAGTAGATGAATAGGTATTCTACACGGTTTTAGGGACTGAATGATTTTTTGGCAACTTCCAGGCTCATGGTGAATTGAAGCATGATGCCATTTCTGCTTCATTGATGGCATTGCTGATCCATAAACAGCTGCAAATATTGAAAAAACTTTGTGGCTTTTTGGACTGTTTTTTAATTCTTACTCTTGATGGAGTCCTACAGCCCTATAGGAAGTCCTGTGCAATGCCAGGATTGGTGGTTCGTGTTTGGGATGTGTATGAGCTCTCTTCTCTGTTGTTTGGATGACTCTTGCATCAGCTGCTTTGATTATCCAAGCTCCACAGACGGAAATTAGCCTTGAATAGGTCTACAAACACAGCTAGGAAATGGACCTACTGTTGTGCTCACAAATCATAACCATTGTGTGGGGCAGAGACTGCTCCACAGATGAGCCTCAGTCCCACTGTCCACAGCAAGAGTGAGTGCCAAGTATTTTCTAAAGCAAAGCATAATATGATTTCATTAAGGACTGGAATGCACTTGAACTGATAGACTACTCCAGTCTGAAATAAAACTTGACTTTTAATAATATTTTTTAGTTGCAATCAAACTGAAGAGTCTAATTCTATCTTGCTGGGATGGCTTCCCCCCCTCTCCCCCCGCCCCCCCTCAACACACACTTAATCCTTTTTTTTATCCATGTAGCATACCCAAGCAGTACACAGCCTGCAGGACAGCTCCAGGGCTGTTCCCACAGATCAGTCTAAATGTTGCTACAGCCTTCACTAGGAACATGGCCACGCATGCAGTGGTGTGGTTCAATTCTGCTGACCATTTCTGACAGGTACTCACCTCCAGGTACACCATCCACGGCATCACCAAAGTAGCCACCAGCAAATCTGCCACTGCCAGGCTCACCACGAGGTAGTTGGTTGTGGTTTGCAAGGTGCGTTCCCTCAACACAGCCAAGCAGACCAGCACGTTTCCAAAGATGATAGCCAGAATCAAGATGCAGTAGCAGAGGGCATAGTAGGCGTGTGAATGGGGCAGCTCAGGCTCTGTGGTGCTGTTTGCCCCACAGGGAATGGGGTCTGTTCCGTTAGGATGGCTGCTGGCTCTAGTGATGAGGGCCATGGGGCTGCCACAGTAAAGAGAAAGAGAGAGGACTGAAAATCAGAGCTCTGCAATGACTGTGGAAAACAGTACCCTCTGTGGCTACTAATATGATTTTTATACTTTCTGTATGAATTCTCCTTCAAGCCAAAAAGAAAGGTCTTTTCTCTGCCCATATACAGGCAGAGCTTTGCTTAAAGACTTGGTTGGCCTATTCTGTTTTTCACTGAATCTAAACCAAGAGAAGAACGCAAGATTTCACCTCCTGTGTGCATGTGAAAGCTGGATCTTACCAATCAATGCAGCTGTTTGGAAAGTGGGCAATGGTTTTGAGATGGACCAAAGCCACACCAAAGCCACAAGTCAGCTGGGCAAGAGTGCAGCCTGAAAGACAACAATTTGAAATGATGAGCAAGACCCAGCATAGATACCCAAACATACTAGGGCTTGGCCAAAATTTGGAACTTATATCTTTTCTTCTGGGAAGTATAATCTTCCTTCACTCATCAAAAAATAACCTCACACACTCAAGTGTTTGGCAGCCTGGCAGCAAGCACCACCTCCAGAATTCCTCCTTTCCTGCAGCATGTCCCAAGCCCTGCCTGCTTTGTAAAGGGTTGACTGCTAGTGCTACTCCCATTCCATCCATACTGTGTCTGTGTTTTCTATACCTGGCCAGATGTGCTTCCTGTGCTGAAAAGCAAACTAACTTGATATTTGGGATGAAATACTGAAAAGATGCATGGAGGGTGCTCTGCCTTTCTTTTTGTTACAATAGATTCAAGTCTGTTCTCAGTAACCTACCCTTCCTTGATTTAAGAGGAGGATTTTTCCCCAGAAATACGAAAGCTGCTGTACTGAGGTTGTTCCATGACATTTAATGGCTTGTATCTTTTTTTCCTTTGCTACTGCTCTTGTTGCTGAACTCATCATCAGTATGACAGGTATGAAAAGCAAGGACAAAGCATTGCCATGCCAGCGGTATAAATATGACTCTGTTTCACCTCACCCCTTGAACAGCAGCATTTGTGGTGCACAGCTGCTGCACAGCTATGCTCCTGGAAGAGTAGCTGTGCCATGGGTATAAATTGCTCTAGTCTCTTGGGATATACTCATCCTTAAAACTAGTGCCACTCTCCCCTGATGCATTGTAGCTGGGAGAGGAGGACAAGGGTTGAATGAGATGGAAACTGAACTTCCCCATGTCTTGCAAACACAGATCACTCAGAACAGGGGTGAAACTATCTCTTATGGCTTGTGCTTGTCTCCTCTATCTTTCTTCTGCCCAACCCTGACAAAGAAGTTAAGCTTTCCACTGGATCACGAAGATCTCTTGTAGCATGAGTGCTGCTGCTGGGTCCAGGACTGTTCATAAAACAGTTTTGCTGCAGCCACTCAAAGGCAGGATTCATTTTACTGTGTCCCTTGCACAGACACAGTTCCCACTTTGGGAATTCTGTATTGTCTGGAGCCAGGAAAGGCTGGTACTGTACTGCTGGAAAAAACAGCTGCCTAGGTGATAAGCAAGGCCAGACCAGGGAATGAACAAAACATCACCTATAATATATATATAACCAGAAGGCATAAGGCATCCCAACACACAGTTTGGCTGTGAGTTTCCTGTCTTGTATTCTGTTTCTTATAGCCACAAGCACTATTTTCGACTCTCACCCCAAAGTCAGTCTTCCCTCCCAAGATCCCTCCCAGCCCTGCCAGGTCCCTCATCCCTTAGGCCGCCCCCCGCCCCTCAGTCCTGCTCACTCTGCCCCTGGCCAGGGCGCTGCCAAGGCAGGCTCATACCGGCGTACCTGGATACCCCCACGGAGGGGTGGCAGGCCAGCCGCGACGCTGCGATTCCAGGGGTGACACACTGCCATGGGGACAAGGGTCGCAGCCGTGGGGAAGAGCAGAGGGAGGGGAAAGGAGGGGGAAAGGGACGCCCCTCTCGTGGGTCCCCGCTTCGGAGGGGCCCGGGTGCCTGTCCCGGCCCACACGGCAGCTCCGGGGGCGGAGAGGGCTGCCGGTCCGAGCGCGGGGTCAGGCGTGGCGGTGGCTCCGGGCTGGTCTCCAGCTGCGGCGCTGCTCCGCTCACGCTGCTCCGCACCCGAGGGCGGCGGAGCTGCGCGCTCCCCGCGGCGCCCCGGGCCGGCTGCCGTGTGCCCTGGCGGGGGCCGGGCCGGCAGAAGCGGGCAGGGTCGGGAGAAGGGACTGCCGGCACCGGGCGGGAGGGGAGCGGGCGGCAGCAATCAGCACTTACCCCGGCGCGTCGGGCGCTGCTGCCGCCGGGCAGAGCTCGGTCCCGGTCCCGGTCCCGCTGGCTCCCGGCCCGACCCACGGGGCGGGACCGGGCTGGCCACCTCCTCCCGCCCGCCCCCTGCCCCGGGACCCCGCGGCGCCCGGCGGGGGCCCCGCCGCCCGTGCCTTTCTCGGCTGCCCGAGGCTGCCCCTCTGCCAAAGGGGCGCGGCCGAAGGCGCTGGGCGAGTTCTGGCGCCGGGGTCCGCAGCAAGGGCGCGCTTGGCTGAGGGATGGAGCTGCTCCTGCCTGGGGGCGAAGCGGGGCGCCGGGAGCTCGGGGCGCCGCCGCTGCGGCCGAGCGCGGGGAGATGCCGCGGCCGGGGCTGCTTGCCCAGCAGATAGAAAACTGCCACTAAAAAAAAAAACCAACAAAAAACCCCAAAAAACAACAACAAAAAACCAACACAACAAACAGTTGAAAAAATTATCAAAGCAGAGATTATTTTAAGAATGGGAAGGTTTTAAAAAATATATACCTTTAAATAAACTGCCTTAAACCTGAAATGAAGGGAAGAAGCTGGAAAGGAGACTAATAATGGGAAGCATCCTTCTTCAGGGATCACTGCCAGTAGGCACAGCATGAATGACCAGGGAACGACTATAAACCCTGCCACATCTCTGCCATGTGGCTTTCCTTGAGATCTGAGATCAAGTTTTCTGAGGTACATTTCTCCTCAGACTGTAGTCACTGGGGTACAAGTGATGCCAGTGTATCTTCTGTCTCTGGAGGTTGGGTTGTGCTCACCACCCACTCTGGCACAGCAAATGAGGCTGGCAGGGAGTTGGCAGGAGGGTGCAGGAAGCCCAGCAGCAGGGCTGAGGTTTTGCTTTGCTGCATGTATGACCTGTGGCCCTAGCAGGAGGAGACAAAGTGCCCTTCCTCTTTATGCACCCACAGATCAGAGTGGCTACAGGCTGGTTTGTGTGGGCAAGGAAAAGAGGAGATCCTGTGGAGAGCTGAACTTATTTACCTATTTTTAAGAATTTACTTCAGAAGGATGTGTTGGGACTTGGGCTGCCTGGATCATCTCTCCTGCCTGTAGTTGTGCAGGCTAAGCTCTTTGTGGGTGAGGGTGGTAGGAGGGAGTAGAGAGCCCTCATACCCATCAGATGTGAGGGGTGAGAGTACCATCCTTGGCCTTGCAGGGGATGGTGAAAGTGCTCCTACAGGCTTTGATGGGACTAATCAGCAGCACTGCCTTTACCCTAGGCTGTGGCTGCCCCATGGCAGCTCTGTGGATGGCACTGGAGGGCTGTGATGAGTCACTGCCCAGTCCCTAGGGGGACACACGCACACATAGCTGCCAGGCTATGAGACCAAATGACCCGTGAAGGGCTCTCCAGCCCCTTCATTCCCTTGGGAGCTCCCAAACGGTGTGACACGAACTACATTTACCGAGCTTAGATTGCATTTGTACAGTCGAACTTCTGCTGTCAGCTGAACCATACTGCTCTCTTTTGGGGAAATGCACTCGCTAGCTGTGCCCGAGGCAATTAAGGAAGGGACGAAATTCTCCTTCCCATGTCCAGCAGAGGCTTTTTAGCTGTGAGCTTGGAAAGAGTGTAACACAGCCACACTTGTGTGGTTAAAGCTGGAGGGGAAAGCACACACCATGATGTGTGCTGGTGAGGGCTGTGCAAGCCACATGAGACCAGTGAGCATGACTCCTCACAGGGGGCTGGCAGAGAGATGGAGGCATTTTAACTTTAACAGTTTTGAAAAGCAGTTTGTTTTCGGGCAATTCCCAAAGGGCTGTGGCTGGCAAAGTGCTCACAGTGGCTCTAGGGTGATGGGACAGCAACAGGCCCGGCTGCTGTCAGCTATTGGATGTAGCAGCTAGCCACAGCTCGATAAAGACACTGCAGCCCTCCTCGAAGGTAAGAGAGATGCAGTAGGGGGAATGCATTGCTATAACCACAAAATCACCATTGTTTTGCTTCACATTTGTATTTTCCAGTGCTGAAACTTTCCCTTTGCCTTTTGTGTCAGTGGATCCCCTGGCTGTGTCTCCCTTGTGAAACTCGTTTCTTGCTTTTAATTATTTTTATCTGATTTCTTAATATTACTCTGTCACCAGGGAAAAAATAATCATAGACTCACAGAATCATAGACTGGTTTGGGTTAGAGAGATCTTTACACTTACCTAATCACAATGTGGCCTTGAACACTTCCAGGGATGGGTCATCCACATCTTTCCTGGGCAATCTGTTCCAGTGCCTCATCACCCTTACAATATCTTCCTAATATAGAATGTAAACCTACCCTCTTTCAGTGTGAAGCTATTCCTTCTTGTCCTGTCACTAGGTGCCCTTGTAAAAAGTCTATCTCCATCTTCCTTGTAGGCCCCTTTAGGCACTGAAAGGCTTCTATAGGGGGTTCATGGAAGCTTCTCTTGTCCAAGTGTAGTTCTCTGTATCGAGCTCTGTCTGCTCCAGGATGGTTTAGGTGAATGGAGCCGAGAGATCTCTGAAGGCTGCTCTTGGGGTATAAGGTTTATTGGGGATGCAGAAAGGTCCTGCCTCGAGCTGCCAGACGCAGCACGTGGCCAGGCTTGAGAGGATGGGGGAGGCGAGAGACAAGAGGATGCTCTAGGAGAGGAGGAGTTCCAAGAGGAGGGGAAGTTCCAAGAGGAGGGGAAGTTCCAAGGGGCTTCAAGGTGGGTTGGAACAAGGCTCGGGACAATGGGGTTACAAGCACTTGATGTTTTAGGGGAGGGTTACAGGTGTGGGGTGAACCATACATCTTTTGGGGGGTGAGATGAACAGTCCACTTGACCCCTGGACCCATCCGTAGGCAGGAGCATTGTCCGGCTAGCAGGGAGGACTGTTTTATCTTGGCTGTATTATTTATGAATAATTATATTTATCCATCCTTCTCAACAGTTCTCCAAAAATAATCTAGTTGTAAATGCTTCTGTTCTATTGAAGCTCATTATCCTAAGTGCTCCTTCCCCACTTCCTTCCTGCAATGGCTCTCTTCACACCCTGTTGGCTGGTTTTCCCAAGACTGGAAGTTCTTTGGGGAAGGGACTTAATGACTTTCTTGTGTTTGCTTTGCAGCAGAGGTCTTGTGGAGCAAGCCACTAATCTTAGTGATCATTTAATTTAGAATAGATTGCACCACACGCAGAGGCAAGGCTGAATTAAAATTGCATAAGCAATCTAGATGGTGATATTTGCAGTGGGTTTTATTAACAGTGCAACTTCTTTAATACAGTGGTTAGTGCAATGTCTCTATCATAAAATCCTCTCCTTCTTCCTACCCCAAAATCAGGTGTATAGTGTATATTTGCCCTTGTTAAACATTGGACAGGTCTTGGTTGTAACATCATGGTATCACTGGAGCAAGGCAGAGAAACAGGTCAGGAGTAAGGTGTTAGAACCTCCAAATGAAAGAATATGCCAACAGGCATTGCTGAAACTCCTGGTTCTTCCCCTCATTCACAGGCTTTCTGTCCCATGGGCAGAAAGGGGAGAGGCACCATCGTTCCCAAACCTGGTGTATTCCCAGCCTGTTTCTTTGCCCTCACCTCCAACACCAACTCCTTAATTCTTCTTTTCAGTTCTATGTGTCCTCTCGCTCTTTGGTAAAAATTTCAAATAACTTGGATAACTGCCAGTGTTCCCTCTTAATATTTCCCCACCTCCTTGCCCGAGAGGCCTAAAATTCTTCTGTGATGCTTGTCCACTGAGGGTTTGTGCACTCCTGTTCCCTTGTGCATCTCTCCAGCCTGTGTTTGTGTCTTTTCCTTTGGTTTCCAGCCACAGTCTCAGCATCCTGTCCAGTTCCCAAACATGTTTGTCCTTCCCTACTAATGCTGATTCCCAAGCTCCTCACTCTTCACTTTGCCATCTCTGGCAGGGTTGCTATGCCCTCCACTCCTGCAGCTTAAAGGATTGTTTGCAAATGGTATTTATTGTGATTTCACACCACAGTTGCTGTCACTACAGCCAGTATTTGAGGTGCAGTGTCTAATATGTACCACCCAGGTGGAATAAATCCTCCATCCTACTTCCTGCAAGCCAGGGTGCCCTCGTGACAGTATTGTTAAAATACTGTTATCCAAGGGGATTTTCAATACCTGACTGCATAAAGCCCTAATTTGACCTCATGGCTGACCCTGTTTGGAGCACGATGCTGGACTAGACCCCTCCTGGGTACTCTTCCCAAGCTGAATTATCCTACACTGACATGAAAATAACCTTGTTTGCTGGATGTGAAGTAAACAGAACTTTTCTGGCTGGCACAGCCTGCAAACTTCCAACAAAACTTTAATTCATGCCCATACCATCTTAGCAGGATATGCCTGCTTGGCCTCGGTGGTTTTTTTTTACAAAACTCACCTGTTTTCAAAGTGGTGGCCAAAATAGAACTCAGTTTCAGGATTATCTACGCACAGCAGCTTGTGGAATCAGTACTGACTCCTTGAAGAAGCTACCACAGCTCATGTCAGATAAGATTCATGTGAGATTCAGATCCAGCTGATATTGATTCCCTTCTGCCCAGCCTTTACCTTCCCTGTCCCCTCTGCCAGCAGTGTGGAAAAAGGTGGCACATCCCAAACCTGCACAGCCCACAGATATGTGGGTTTAGTTTGCAGGGAATTTTTGCCATGCAAATCACATCTGCAATGGATTTTATACAGCAAAGCATTCTGACTTCAAGGGTGGGTGGTACCATAATAACTCTTTCATCTGCTGGTTAGGTATTAGACTGGGACTTTCAGATCC